AATTTTATTTAAATTCAAACAGCTTTATTGGCGCTTTTTATGCCCCATCTTCGCTCTTATTATATCAGATGAACCAATCACTATTTACAGTCAAGTCATATGCATAGTTTTACCATATTGGTTACATGAATAATTTTGATATTTTTTATATTTTATAAAATTTGTTTTTGATATCATATTGTACATGTGTTCTCTTGTTTGATATTGGCATTTTATATTAAATGCTCATTTTCGACATACAATTGTGTTGGGTTTTATTTAGAGCGAACAAGCTCCTGTATGCCTCTCTGCATATCGTTGTTGTAACGGTATTACATTGGCGGAATCATAAAGACAGAAATAGATTTAAATACCAGAGATAACAATTTGTTATGACGTAGAAAAGTTTAATTTTCTTAAAGAAATTATACCAAGAACTGGAGGTTGTTGAAGTAAGAAGGTTATTTTTAAACATGAATAAACAAAGGTATTATGTTTAAACATGTTAAACTTTTTATATATGTGTAATTTGAAGAAGACAATAGGCCATATTTCTATAAATCTGCTAATTCTTGCAATAAGTATTTTTCTAACATAGACGCTTTTCAAAATAATATATCAATGTAGCGTAGTATTTTATATGTCTCCAATCTAAAGAAGTGTAACCGAATCTAATAGAAACACACCAATGAATATTTGATGTCGGTGTACCACAATGCAGAATATCTACATTTATAACATTTATTCCAAGTCAAATGAAAACAATCTGAAATAAATCCAGTCATTTCCCTTCATTGAAGTTCGTATATTGTAACCACGCACGAGCGTAACGTATTAAGATATGGACAAACCATACGATGGAACAGAGAGTATGTTATTGCTGAGAATCAAGAAATTAAAAAAATATCCACAAAGGAGAGGGTCACGAAGGGTTTAATCTGACAATAAGATTAAAAATTTTTTTTTTTAAACTGAAGCTAGTCAGAATACTGAAATTTTTGTGATATAACTTCTTATATAAACTAACTTGATTTTTAAATGAAACTTGTATCATCTATTTGAATAACAAAATCTTTAGCCTTATACAGTTTTAAAACGGACAGAAATAGATTTCTGTGAAATCCAGTCATTTCACTTTTGTTGACGCCATATACCACTGTAAGTGTCAAGACTGCATCATAACGAATAGAGAACTCATTTAAAAAAAGATAATTCCACACAATTTTTATGCGTTATTTACATTAAAATCCACTGTAATAAAAAGAATAAAATATCCAAACAATTCAGATATCAAACGATATTGCCTCATATCCGAATAAGATTGAATAGTTTTAAACTCCTGCACTATGCGCTTTTGTAATTTATAGTGTTATTATAGGTCGTAACTAGTTGAATATTTTTTGAACTATTGAATGTTTGGGATTTAGATGTTTTATTAGCTATAAAATAAATCACGTTATCTAAGGTGAAATATAAACCTTAATTAATGCCATATATTCATGAAAATAAGTGTTTTCTAATTACCACATAGATTTGACGGTTTCAATGCAGGTGTAGCAAAATTGAAAATGTAAAAGCCGCCGAATGGACAAAATGTAAAACAATTCAAATAAAAAAATAACGGCCTGATTAATTTACAAAACAATAAACGAAGATATGACATATAATATACAGCAACAAACGACGACAACTGAATAACAGACTCCTCACTTGGTAAATGCACAGACATGATGGGTGGCGTTAAACATGATTGCGAGGCCCCAACCATTAGACACATCGTACATGAATTGTGCAGTGTACTTTTTTAAGACCATAAATAGTCCTTTATATGAGTAATTTGCCATTCTTAAAAGAAAGAACTCGTGTAATATTAATTCAATCAAATAATAGAAATTATAGCCTAATATTATACACAAAAACGGAGATACTTTATACAAAGAATTGGACGTTGTTAAAAGGAAGGAGGTTATTTCCAAATATGAATACCGTATAATGTGTTAAATCATGTTGAACTATAAATATATGTGTAATTTTATCCATACAACTAGCCGTATTTTAAAAAATCTGCCAATTCATGCACTGAATATCTTCCTAATAATTTAGTCTTATCAAAATGATTTGTTGATGTTTATGTCTCTAATTCATAGCAGTTTAACCTGCTAGGTGAGTCATACCAATTACAGAGGGTCATACCCATTAGATCATATGTGTGTACAAAGAATAAATGTTTATTATACACAGTTTTTACGAAATATATCGTGATTGTGAATCTGAACTCATTAGGTTCAAGTGTTTTGCATTTTTTCTAATTGTTTAAGGAAATCATTTTATATGATTTCAGAATTTGTTCACAAAATTTGTTTAACAATGCTCATTTCCCTTACTGAGTTTTGAAGCCCAAACTTTCTTTATTTTTTAATGTTTTAAATGAAACCCAATACAACTATATCGATTTAAATTGTTTTGCCAAAAATTGTCTAATGTTTGTTCGGAAATTTTTGCTCTTATTTAACAGCACGGGACAATTTTCTATCTTCAGCACACCTTTCCTGTTTCATTTATTTATTGTAAAGGGATTTATTCTTCATAATCATATTTTAATAGCTATTGAATATATTTTATTCTGAAAAATTTAACACGCTTAAGGAGTGGATAGATTTACATTCAAACGGAAGATCCTGAGCATCACGTATTGATAATTACATTGAGTATACCCCAAAACAATATTCAATTCAATATCGTTTTAGATTTTTTCTGTAAAACTTTGCCTTTTGAAAAAAATATGTCCGTATAGTTGGTAAGTATCACGTCGATTTCACACCATGTGCGAATTTTTTCAAAAATTGTCAAAATATACCCCGAGACAGCTATGTACAGTATATTCGACGAATATTGTATGTTTATTGAACAATTTTTCAGATCTCATCAATCCATTGAGAAGAGACAAATCAAAGTAATAAACAAAATCTAAAAGAACAGCAAAAAAGACCGGGTGTGTCGACAGGGTGAGCATCTCCTGCCATGCATGCGAATCAAGACTCAGTCAAAATGTCACTATGGGATATATGACACAATCGGTAAAAATACAGATCAGACAGCTGTGCTGTTATCTGAAGATTGAGAACCGCGAAAACATGTTTGAAACCACTTATTATACATAATTTATGTTATTTATTGTCATTTAAGTTCTTGAACATTGTGAGAAATACAGTTGTCCAGATGAGAAATTAGAGTATAACAACCCACCCGACTTGACAATATTTGTCAATGATCTTATAAAGACCAATATGATTTTGTACCCTATGGAGTTGGATATTTATGCCAATGATTATACCCATTTAGTGTCAAAACTGTCAATTTTTTACAACATTCATTATAAATTGGTTGGCTTTAATACCAGTAAAAGCGGTTTTAGCCATCAATCATTTCAAGCAACCCTTCTCCTTTATAGCAACGGCTGTCTCATTATCACATTAGAACAGTTTACGTGTTTAAGACAAGTTAGAATCCCACATTAAATAGTTGCTCCTACTAAATAGGTTATATTTCTAGAAAAGACATGGACAAGCATTTGTTTATGATAATTCCAAATATATAGCCATGAAGGAAACAACAAACCATACATGGTACACCCCCCATTAAACCCGTTTGTTGATGACGCATCTGTATAATGTTGCATGTAAAAGCTTAAAATGTAATCAAATATATTTACATCATTCCTGTTACTGAGAATACGTGACAGACACAGTCCACATTTAGAAACACCGGTGGTCTGCCAAATTTGTTTGTATTGTTAGTTAAGATAACATTAAGAGTATTATGCTAAAGGCCAAAATATTTGAAAGTCCAAAACCTAATACAAATGGTGAAGAGGAAACAAAGTATCAGGTTCGACTCAATGAAAACATCGAGCAGCAGACTTGCACTTTTGTCAAGTTATGACTGATATTTCTTTGAGGTCTCAATTGAAAAATGTTGATTCTGTGACCAAAAAAATCAAAATATTACGACCTCTCTTTTTTCATAACAATGTTGAGCTTTTTCAGAGGATATTTATTTCATCTACATGGTTGAAATATTTCAGAGGATACTTATCTCATCTACATGGTTGAGCTTTTTCAGAGGATATTTATCTCATCTACATGGAACATAGATAATATTAATTGTATGTAATATTTGTTGTATCATATTCTTCACTAAGACTTTCCACATAAATTCAAAATTGATCAGTAAAGCAAGCGAGACATTTCATTTGTGCACTCTTGTTACTTGTTGAAAGCAATTAAAACAACAATTCATGGCAACTTGGTATGCAATTCATTTTTAGATAACTATTCTCTCTGATTATGTATCGGCCAGTTGGATAGATTTCTAAATTCAAGTGTAATCCTTCATGAGCGAATTACTTTCCCTCTGTAAGACAATGTCTTGAGATTAGTAACACAAAAGTAATCCAGGAACTGAGCTAAATAAATCCAAACTTTTACATGCAAGTTGTTTAATTGGAATAATAACACCGAACAGCTCTATAAAAATTGTCAAACTACACCAACCCAAGAAACAGATTACACAAATAACATGAAATTGGAAGGAGACAAACTGACACACATTGCTGTAATTGCATCGTTTCAAATAATAGTATGCACCGATTTATCTCAAGATATTACAAGTAGTCTGTGTTTAATGAAATGTTTTTGCTTCTTTTAACACATGACTTTGCTTATTTTTCGGAAGTATTTGTTTCACAATAATATTTCATTTCAGTTAAATCGTCAGACAAAAAGTATCCGAGTAAAGGTAATTTTCTAAAAGCGGTAGTACGAAGAAAATCATGTGTATGTTGTTCGTATTTTGAATGAAGTACATTATTATGCATATTTCAATATTATTTATGTATTATGCTTCTTTCATAATATTCTAATTATTGTTACAGTTGCATCTTCAGACGGAAGTCTTAACATCAGAGAAATTTTTTCCTTTGCCTCGTAGTTAGTATACACTGCACTAAGACATAGTGTTACCTTGGTGATGCATACAACATGTATAAATGAAGCAGATCCGAAAAGCAAACAAGCACATACTCTATAGGTGTCTTTGAGGAAGGTAGGGTTTATATTTTACTGCAGTAAAAGTATAGAAATTCAAAAAATGTTAATATTCAACTTCAAAAACATTGTTAATATTTAAATTAATTTCTGGTTGAAACTAATGTTAACATATGACACAATTTTACTCGAATTATATATATCTGGGTAAAAGTAATCTTTTATTGAATATTACTCTATTTTCTATAACTTGTCAAAGTCATATTTCTGAAAAAAAATTGTAAAATTCAGTTAAATAGATAAAATGGGTTTACTTCAAACATAATAAGTAGTCAATGGATCGCAAAATTTTAATAAAAATGTAATTCTTAGTAAAAGATTATAATTTTTACTTATGATTGTAATAATTTAGTAATATGATTGCATGATTTAATAGTCTGTTTTAGCTTTTAGATATTTTAGAATGAATTTTATCCTCAATTTTTATTTCTATTTTATAACTATTTATTTTTTTGGGATGTTTTGGTAAATGCAATGTTTGTTTTTTTTCTTTTCAATAAGAAATGGCAATAAGAAACGGGGCATTTGTGGCATAGTGGTCTTAGTAGTTCAGTTAAATTAAAAGAGAGTTTAAATAATAACGTTTTGTATCTTTTCAGCGGAACTTTGAAATTATCGTACAAAACACTTAAAATATTTCGATCAACTAAAGGGAAAATGTTCACTACTAGTTCAACTGAAATGTTTTTACAACAGTTTTCTATAACTTATATTTTCTTTTAAGGTATTTCCGATAGCAATTTTTTTTATCTTGCTACATTTCTTTTTTTTAAAAGTTGTGATAAATTCATATTATTTCATTTTGGAAGAAAAACAAAAAATTACATGACATGTCAACACTCCTACCACAGTAATTTTCATTTTTTTCTTTTTAATATAAAAATAAGGAGATGTGGTTTGATTGCCAGAGAGACAAGTATTCACAAACATATTCAAATCTTAGTTATATTTCTTTTTTCTACTAAGGAGACAGTACATAATCAGTAGATTGTTAACTGGGTGGAATCAACGAGCAACAAAAGCATTAATTTGTTTGAGCTTCAAAAAAGATTATAAAACGGTAAGCATTTTCATCTTTTTCATTTTCTTAATTTAATGGAAATCAAAGCAGATTTATGAAAGAAGGTAAGATATATGGATCAATAGTTATTGATTGAAAATATCTCTTTTGAATTTTTACTCACTAGCTTTTAATGTTTGAAAATGCATTTTTCTACGGCAAATATTTTCTGCGTGATAAGCATTTGTAAAATAAAGAATGTTGACCCTTTAGTGGTTATGAAGAGATAGATAAATTCCTGCTCTCTAGCAAACTGTATAATTTTGCGTGTTGTGCACCTACTTCCGAATCAGCACCTAGTAAAGGGATGTTTCTTATTTTTAGGTAAACTTAAGTACCAATGAAATAAGTACAAAAGTAAAGTTCTCATTTTCGTGAGCAATAAAAATTGAATAGGAAGTGCTCGAAATAATTGTTTAAATCTTGACAGGCTTTTATCGATAATATGCATTTGATAGAAGATCATCTTCACTAAAGCCAATGACATGTCGTGATATATATAATATATTTTTGAATTGATAGATAAATTGATTAATTGAATTCCTCCCTACATGTTAGGCAACGTAAAAAAAAATATAGTTTGCCTTGTTTTACGATACCCGTGGATAGGTTTAAACCTGTTTCCTGTTGAAATTGATATATTAAATTATTAAAAAAAAAAGGAATTAAACGAAGTAATTTCAGATGTATTTTTCACTTTTATAATTAATTAGATACGTAACGACAGAACAATTAGATTAAAAAAAAGAAACCAGACCTGATTACTCGTCTTAACAGTTATAGGACAGATACTAGTGAACTCCGAAGCCTCATTGTATTTTTCCAACAATTTCCATGCTGGTGATATAATTTCATAATAGCTGAATGTGCACCAGTGTTTCCCTCATACGGGCTATTAGCCTTAATTTAAATGCTGCAGAGAGGTTAACGTGTGAAACGTTGCACGCGGTTTACTATACTTCATGAACGCAATTAACAGTATTTCTCTTTGAATATCTAGTTAAGGTCTTTCCTTTTCCAAATGGAACAGACCTTACTGTATTTCTTCTGATTATTATTCTTTTCCGCCAAACTTTTACAGCATTTGCTTCCATAACCGTACAATATCTCGCAATCAGGTTCACACTTTAAATCCATATGATAAGCAACTATCCGGAAAAGAGAGGCGAGAGCTACCAAAGGGACATTGGAACATCTACTTTATGTTGTGTTCTTTGTTCTGTTGTTTTTCGTTGGTCGCTTTTCGGGGTTTTTTTTTTGCCATGACATTTGAAGTTGTCTTCGATGAGATTGAATATTCCTTTGCTATCTTTCGTCCAACTAAGTTAGACATCACGTGACTTCAATGACGTGGCAATCCGCCATCTTTAGTAAAATATGTGTCATAGAAATTAAGTAGGCCCTCCAATTAACTTTAATTTTTCCGTCAATTCGGCCCGTTTTCCAACATTTGCTGCTCTTTCCTTTGTCTTCGAACATAGTTCTTTTTAAATGAAGAGGCTCTCAAGAGCCTGAATCGCTCACCTGTGTTTTTTTGCATTTATCTTTCATTTGAGACTATTAGTCCCAAATTTCATCATTGATTATTTTTTGGTTTACTGTATATTAATAAGTGCTTGAAAATGCCATTCAACGTGTCTCGGTTTTGTCATATTTTCTTCAAAAGCAAAAGAAAAGGTTTATATCATCTTTTAAGAGCAATTATAACTGTAATTGGTGTTTGACAACTTCAGTCATGTTCACTTATTTGAGTTTCTTCTTCTTTTTATCATTTTTCAATATCAAAAGTTAAACACATCAAGGGAATGGAAAACAACTGTCATATTCCTGCCTTGATACAGGCATTTCCTATATTAACGCAGATATATTTATGCTGTTCACAGTTTACCTTTATCTTAAACAATATTCAAGATAATAACCAAAAAATTGCCAAATTTCCTTAAAATTGTCAATTCAGGGGAAATTACCCCAATATGGGTCGTCTGATTCGTCTTAAAATTTCAAGCCAGGTATAACTTAACCTTATAAACATTTTTACTTCTGATAATTTGCTCTAAATGCTATGGTATTGAGATATAAGCCAAAAACGACATTTTACCCTATGTTCTATTTATAGCCATGATGACAATATTTTTTGGATCAAACACAAAATAAAACACATTTGTTTATACTTGATACCCTGAGGATTATTAAGCATAAGTTTGGCTGCAATTAGTTCAGTAGTTTCACAGAAGAAGATTTTTTAAAGTTAACAACATGATGAACAAATTGTGTAAAATCGTCTTTGAAGGCCAATTACTCCTTAAGGGGTCAATTAATAATTTTAGTCATTTGACTTATTTTTAGATCTTACTTTGCTGAACATTCTTGCTTTTTACAGTTTATCTATAATAATATTCAAGATAATAACTAAAAACTGCAAAATTTCCCAAAGATTATCAATTGAGAGTCAATAACCCAAAAATCAGTAGTCCGACTTGTCTGATACTTTCGTGACAGGTAGATCTTGACCTAATTAACACTTTAACACCATGTCAGATTTGCTCTAAATGCTTTAGTTTTTGAGATATAATCCAAAAACTGCATTTTACCCCTATGTTTTATTTCCAGCCACGGCAGCCATGTTTTTTGACTAAACTCTTAATAAAACACAAACTGTATACTAGATACCATAAGGATCATTCTATTTAAGTTTGGTTGAAATTGGTTGAGCAGTTTCAGAGAAGAAGATTTTTTAAATGTTTGCAAACATGATGAACAAATTGTGTAAAATTGTCTTTAAAGGCCAATAACTCCTTAAGGGGTCAATAAACAATTTTAGTCAATTTGACTTATTTGTAGATCTTACTTTGCTGAAATTTTTGCTGATTACAGTTTATGTTTATCTATAATAATATTCAAGATAATAACTAAAAACTGCAAAATTTCATTAAAATTATTAATTCAGGGGCAATAATCCAAAAATCGGTTGTCCGACTTCTCTGAAAATTTTACTGCAGGTAGATCTTGACCTAATGAACGCTTTTAGCCCAGTCAGATTTGCTCTAAATGCTTTAGTTTTTAAGATATAAGCCAAAAAACTGCATTTTACCCCTATGTTCTATTTTTAGCTATGGCGGCCATGTTTTTTTACGAAACTATTAATAAAACACAGACTTTATACTAGATACCCTAAGGATCATTCAGCATAAGTTTGGCTGCAATTGGTTCAGTAGTTTCATAGGAGAAGATGTTTGAAATAGTTTACACCGGACGGACGACGACGACGACGACGGACGACGACGGACGCCAAGTGGTGGCAAAAGCTCACATTTCCTTTTAGGAAAGGTGAGCTTAAAATGTTGACCCTGACAGTTTAATCTTAGATTAAATTACGTCCCTGATCAATTGTAAATATCGCTCCTTTTCTCGTCGTCTGCCCGTTTATTTTATTTTAAAACTAACATACCTACGTCTTCTTGAACATTTATTTCATAAATGTCTTAAGCAAAAGTAAAAAGTAAAATAGCAAAAATACCGAACTCCAAGGAAAATTCAAAAAGTAATACTTTGCTGCTATATTGTTATAACTGAAACATATGTCTAGCGGTGCATGCTGTTTTTAACAGTTTAATTTGTATAAAAATTACGTCCCTGGTCGATTTAAAACTGTAAATTTTTCGACAATGACGAGATTTTTCAAAATGGTTGCTGTATCATTTATCATGTTTATACTTAGGTAAAATTTGCTATTTTCTATATTTAAATGGCGAAGATTGCATGTTTTCACCGTGTTTATTTTTATAGTAGCCTTTTTCGATGCCTAAAAAATAAAAATTGTAATGTACATACATATGAATATGACATCTTTATTATAAAATACACAAATGCATAGATGCAATGACATCAGGTAAGCCTGAAAAGGTACAGACAGGAAGATACAAGCCTACTTTACACAATTAGTCAGGTATTACACAGAAAACGTATGCCAAACCAAATTACCTATAAGTGTTATAATTATCCTGTGTACTATGTTATTTCCTGAGTTTTAAAGTAATATACGACATATTTTGCCATCGGGAAATTCTTTCAATTATCACAACGCTGAATAAATATCAAAACAATAATAATGAAGAAAAAAATTAAATATTAATATTTTCAACTTCTAAATGTTTTAGCATAATTATTTTTATAAATATATTAATAATAATATTTTGTTTTCTGTTTGTAAAATTTGTCCTCATTAAAACAAATTTAAGCCTAAACCCAATGCAAATGATTTTGAACAATTTTATAATTTTTTTACCAATTTTAGTTGACAAAATAAGTGCATATGTCTCTGATTAAATGTAAGATATTGTCGACCCTTTCTTACCATCTGATCTGTAGCGACAGAGTTGCCGACCTTCTTGTGACTTATATAGCTGCGTGTGTTATATAAAAATATGAAGATGTGGTATGATTGCCAATGAGACAACTCTCCATCAGAGACTAAATGAATTAGAAGTTAACAACTATAGTTCACCACACGGCCTTCAACAATGAGCAAAACCCATACCGCATAGTCAGCTATAAAAGATTAATGTACAAATTCTCCCCTTAACCTGGGACAGTGGTGGAACTGTACAACATAAGAACAAACTATGAAAATTAGTTGAAAAAGGCTTAACTCATCTCCCTTCGGTGTCCGTCCTTTTTACGTGCCGAAAGGGTTTGCGTCTCTAATTACCAAATTTATGCTTGTTTGTTTATAATTGACATTTTTTCCCTGATCTTAAACCGTTTTTGTTAAGGTTTCATCGTAATTTCACAGGCACTTGTCTCTGAGTAAATACTCCACATTGTCGATCTACAGGACGACATTTCACCGTACTTGGAAACATTATTCTGACTCGGTGCCAACAAATCTTTGCTCTTACTCAAGTACAGACGTATGCATAGCATCACTTAATTAACAATTAGGTTTTAATTGACGGTAGTGTGTAAAAGAATTCAAAAATACATAACCAACTAAAATATCC